CACATATCCAATGCCCAATTTTGACCATAGTGCTTTTTCCAGTCTGGTAGGTAGTACCTAAAACAACCAGTAAAGCTACACGATTTACTTAGACGCAAACTTGCGAGCTTGCAGCCTTCTCTCACCAGGGAAAGGGTGTCGGTTTGCTCCATAGCACACCGTCCTCTGAATCCGATAGCGATACTCGCACAAAACCAAACGTGAACTTTTGCCAAGCATTCTAGAAATATCTATTGGTTCCAAAAAGTACTAATTTAGATTCTCAACCTTTAGAAGCGTTTGCCTCTGGAATGAAGGCGGTTTGAACGTATATGAACCAGTATTCGGTATACCTTTGGCCAGATAATCAATTTGTACAAAGTGGGACCTTAAATGACATATCGAAAAAAGGAAAAATCTTCCACTTTGATGACTCGCCTATCTGCATCTTCCCAATATCCATATAGGCTTATATCTACACGAGCACCATAATTGTATGTCAAGTTCAATGCCTGCCAACCCATTGATAAGGTTTCTGCGTATGGTTGATACCTATGCAGTACAAGTAATATCAGGGGGAAACAGTAGTATTCCATTTAGGAAAAAATGATAAACAAAATTACCATCTATTATTAATCTCATCGACGTCATCTTTCAATGAAACCTGTGCAGGAGCACGATCAGGAACAACTAGAAGTATAACTTTGGCTCAGTGTTTGGAGCGGAGGATTATAAGTTCTACTTGTAACATACCAACATAGAACTTCCCAAAGAATGGGAAGCTTTGACCGCCGTCACGACTTAGTCGAATCGGGACGAGCCCAGTTTTGTGAAACATAGGCATAATGCAACGAGCACGTACGCGATTCAATCGTTTGCAATCGGTCTGCCAGTTTTCGAAGTTCACCTGAAACCTGGTGGCACTGTCTTCGACATACTACTTGATTACTATACGAGGCACATTCAAGTGTTTCGTTCTTGTAAACTTGCCAAAAGTGCACTCGAATTCTATGAAGGACTTTGTAAATCAGGATATAATGTATTTTCAAACAGCTAAAAGCTCAAAAATCTGACTTTTT